ATCGCCTAAGCCCAGGAATTGGAGGTTGCTGTGAGTTGTGACGCCACTGCACTCTACCAAGGGCAATAAAGTGCTGTCTCAAAAAAAAAAACAAAAAAAAAAAAACTGGGTAAGGAAGCAGAGAGACCCCAAGACCCAATGGTGCTCAGAGCCCTTTGTATGCTATTTATTCTTTTCCTTGGACTTTATTAGTTTGCTGATACAGGAACCCTGTTTCTGGAACCAAAGTAATAAAATACTGCCAAATTCATCAGTGGGGAGTAAATAGAGATAGCTCCTTCAGGTAGCCTCCCTCAATTTCCCCTTTTTTCCCCCAGGATCCTGTATGCTCTGATGATTACACTGGCAGATTATTAGCCGCCTGCCTTTCTAAGCTACCAGGCCCACGTTGGTCAGAAATTCATCCCTACACCCTGAAGGATGATGATATACTACTACTGCTTCTGAGTGTAGTCAAGCCTAAAAAGAGTTTGGTTTAGGCTGTGCAGTACCTCAAAAGTCAATAATCTAATACTTAAGAATCTAGAAAAAAGGCAAACTAGACTCACAACAAACAGAAATTAGGAAATAATAAAGATCCAGGTAAGAAATCAATGGACTAGCAAAACAATGAAACCACAAGTTGGTTCTTTGGAAGTATCAACAAAATTAACAAACTTTTAGCTAGGCCTAATTAAAAAAGAGAGAGAGAGAGAAACGAAAACACAAATTACTAAACAAATAAAACAATTTGGATGAAATAAACAAATTTCTAGAAAGACAAATTATCAAAAGTAACTCAAAAAGAAATAAAAAACCTAGGCAGCGCCCGTAGCTGAGTGGGTAGGGCACTGGCCACATACACCAAGGCTGGTGGGTTTGAATCCAGCCAGAACCAGTTAAAATCAATAATCACAACTGCAACAAAAAAAATAGCCAGGTGTTGTGGCAGGTGCCTGTAGGCCCAGCAACTTGGGAGGGTGAGGCAAGAGAATCACTTAAGCCTAAGAGTTGAAGGTTGCTGTGAGCTGTGATGCCACAGTACTCTGCCAAGGGCAACATGGTGAGACTGTCTCAAATATAAAATAAATAAATAATAAACAAACAAACAAAAAGAAATAAAAAATCTAAGTAGATCTATATTAAGAAAAAAATTGAATTAGTAAGTTTAAAATCTTCTCAAAAAGGAAAGCCAAGGCCCATGTGACTTCATTGGTACATTCTATCAAAGATTTAAGAAATAATTTTTTTGAAGAAATAATACCAATGCTTCAAACTCTTCCAGAGAACAGAGGAGGAACACTCCAGTTCATTTTATGAGGCCACAATTGCCCTGATACCAAAATGAGGAAGAGATAACAAAAGAAAACTACAGACCAAGCAATATCCCTCAGCAAATTAAAGCCAATACCATATAAAATAATTCTATGGTACAATCAAGTGGAATTTATTCTAGGAATGCAAGCTTGGTTTAATATCTGAAAAACAGGCTCAGCACCTATAGCTCAAGTGGCTAAGGCGCCTGCCACATACACCAGAACTGGCAGGTTCAAATCCAGCCTGGGCCTGCCGAACAACGACAACTATAACCAAAAAATAGCCGAGCTTTATGGTAGGCGCCTGTAGTCCCAGCTACTTGGGAGGCTGAAGCAAGAGAATCGCTTAAGCCTAGGAGTTGGAGGTTGCTGTGAGCTATGATACCACAGCACTCTACCCAGGGTGACAGCTTGAGCGGCGCCTGTGGCTCAGAGGGTGGGGCGCCGACTTCATATAGCGAGGGTGGTGGGTTCGAACCCAGCCTGGCCAAATCGCAACAACAACAAAAAGAAATAGCCAGGCATCTGGCAGGCACCTGTAGTCCCAGCTACTTAGGAGGCTGAGGTAAGACAATCACCTAAGCCCAGGAGTTTGAGGTTGCTGAGAGCTGTGATGCCACAGGCGATAAAGTGTGACTCTGTTTCTAAAAAAAAAAAAAAATCTGAAAACAATTAATGTACAAGAGTAAAGGACAAAAAGCGCACAATCAATAAAATTCAATACCCATTCATAATAAAACCTTTCAATAAACTAGAAATAGCCTGATAAAAGCCACACACACACAACATATAGCTAAGATCACACTTAATGGTGAAAGACTGAATAGCTTCCTCTTAAAATTAGTAACAAGGTAAAACCATTCACTTTTACCAGTTCTATTCAACATTGTATTACAAAACCTTGCTGTGCAATCAGGCAGAAAGATTTTTTTTTTTAATGGATGTTGGATGAAGTAATTCCTCTACTCAAAACTCCACTAGCTTCCTACCTCACTCAGAATAAATCCCTATATTATCTGGTCCTGATCTACCCATCCCCCCTTTATCTGTAGCCACACTGGCCTCCTTTTGTTCCTCAAACACAATAAACATGCCTGTTTTAGGACCTCTGAAACTGAATTCTGTATCCCTGGAATGTTATTCTCCAAGATATACTTCCAACTTACTACTTCAGTTCCTACATATTTCTGCACAGATTTTATTTTCTCAGAGTGGTCTTCTATGACAATCCAGTCTCTCCCTATTCCCTTATCCTGCTACATTTTTCTTCATATTTATTCATTTGTTTATCAGCTTCCTTCACTAGAATTTAAACTAGAAGAGAGAGAACTATTTTATGCACTGCTACATCTCAAACACTTGAAACTATGCCTGGTACATGATAGATGCACAAATAAGCAGTCAATGAACAAATGAATGTCTTAAAAAAATTTACATGGGAGAATGAATTAAAAGGGGAGGGTGGGGGAGACATTACTGGCCCAAGAGGCTGAGAAGGACCTAGAGCTTTAGGTCATAGGAAAAAGAGCCAATGTAGGATAATAGAAAAACCTTAGTTCTCTGAAGATTATGGCTTCAGAGAACCAAGGTTTTTCTGGGTTCTAAGCTTAGCTTTTCCAATCACTGCCTACACATCCTTCTCTAAGTCTCGAATAATTTATAAAACAAGAATATCACCACCTACCTCCCAAGTTGCTATGAAAATGAAATAAATTTAAGTAGACCATTCAGTACAGTGACTGATAATACACATATAGTAGACGCTATAGTACAAGTCTGTGGTCTATTAAGAACCTGGCCACAGGCTCAGCGCCTGTGGCTCAAATGGCTAAGTTGCCAGCCACATTACACCTAAGGTGGCGGGTTTGAATCCAGCCCGGCCCACCAAACAATAATGACGGCTGCAACCAAAAAATAGCAGGGCGTTGTGGCGGGTGCCT